GCCAACAGCCGACGGATGTTAGAAAGAGGGAGAAACAGGCATTCGTGTGACCGAAGAGCGAAAAGGAGGGAAGAACAGGGAGCACGATCGGTAGCTTTCGCGATATTCAATCTCACGTGCAATCTTTTTATCTGGAAAATTGCGAAAGCGTTCGCCGTTATTTGCCACTAAAAATTCAAAGGACATTGCAGGATTCTGGCGATTTCTTACAAAACTGGATACTTCAATTTTCATGGGACTCGTATAAGCTAGATACGGTGTTAGCCAGGAGTTTGGGATTGCTGTACGTTGTATGCTGTGCGGGAATTTTTGGGAAAAAATTTAACCCTTCGTGCAACTCGATATTTCAATTTTCAGGAGACTCATGAAGGTGGATACACTGTTTGCTAAAAGTTTGGGGTTACTGTACATTGTAAAGTGTGCAAGAATTTTTAGGAAACAATTTGAAATTTAACCCTTCGTGCAACTAGATATTTCAATTTTCGTGAGAATTAACACTTTGCACTCGAAGACCTTTTTTCTATAAGGAAGCAGCAGAAATTAATGAAATTTTTTCAAACTAACAAATAAACTGTACATATATTAACGAATATGACTATTTTACTTCAATATGTAACGTAATTCTGTTAGAAGTTGGTTCTTTCAAACTGTTTCACTGCTGAGATCTCTATCACGTAGTAAACAGTTTATGGAGGTAAAATATCAGATGTAGGAGTGCCTCCAATAATTATTTACCAAATGGTAAATATAATAGTAATGTCTCTTTCTTAGTCGCCTCTCGAGTGCAAAGGGTTGAAAGCTTAGAATTACTGTGCATTGTAAGCTGTTAGAAAGAGTTAGTTTGAGACAATTTTAACCCTTTCCAGTTCTTGAATTTTTTCGTACGACCGACCCGTAACTCCAGCACACTTTTGCAGTGAAAATTTCGAAAAAAGAAATGACAAATGTTCACGAATTTGTTTATTTTCATTTCTGTCGTTAATTTGCTACATATCAACACCAATATTGTGCACATTACGAATACCACCATAGCGACGCCAGCGGAGTGCAAAGGGCTGATGAATTCTTCATCACCCAAATCTACCAAGTCGAAGTAAATTGCAATCGACCCTTGCGAAACTAAGTCCACAACCATAAAAAATTAGTAAATCGACAAATAAAATCCAAACCGATTGACCTCTGCGAAATTAATTACACAACCATCAGAAGTTAAAAAATTGTTAACAAATTCCAAACATTTCGCCTCTGTTGTATCGCACGGGAAATTCTTCCACCCGACATAAAGAAAATTCAACAACACTTCAGTCACCGAAAGCACCATCTAAAGATTATCATTACGAAACCTGTACACTTCTCCGAGGGAACACAAAATGACACCTCTGTGTCCTCATTCTTGAAACGCTTCTTCTTCTTCTCGCCTCTTCATTTCCCAAGAAAATTAACGACACGGGCATCCACGGTGTCGCGATCGGTGGAAAAAAGGGTGGAGCATTCGCGGAAGAAGGAGAGGGAAATAAAGAAGGGAGTAAAAAGATAAGAAGAGAGGGGTTGGGGGCGAAGGGGGAGAATACGGCCGATAAATCGGGGATTACCGATCACGTTTCGAGGTGTCGCGTGGGCGGCGGGATAAATTCTGGCCTTAATCGGGCCGTTGCCATTGCTGGAATTAATAATTTTGTTCGGTTATGCTACAAGATCACGGCCGGAAGGGGCGTGAATGAACAACGAAGAGGTGAGGAGGTAGGGAGAGGAGATATCTCGTTCCCCCTGGGGCAAACCACGGTCGTGGACGCGTTTACGCGAACGCGAAACAAGTTACGAGCTGCCCGGGGCTAGGCGATTCCGCTGGAGCTTTTATAGAAACGCGATAAAACGATGATTTCGAGTATTTATTCCGCGACGATCGACGTCAGCGCGAGGGGGGGCTAATAATGATTAGTCGATCGATGGAACGAGTGGCTTAAGCAAATATAGCGTCGTAACTACCCTTCGTTTTAAAAAGTAGCTTCACTTTTACGAGAGAGATATTGAAATGGAAATTCTTCCTGTGACAAAAATTGTTTGAGGTAAAAGGGAGGGATTTGCTGTTTAAGGTTGAGATAAGGTGAACGACGACGATTCTTCGGGCTAGACTGTTTTCTTATGTAAAATACTTTTTCAGATAAAAATTGTTCGAATTAAAAATGGGAAGATTTGTTTGTTTGAGCAGAATTTAAGGAGATATTTAGAAGGTAAAGTCATCAATTGTTATTATTTTGTGCCTTTGTTTTATCATTTGCTACCGTTATTGATCATTTTGTTATTTAGTACCGTGTTTGCTTTTCTTTTTTTACGCTACTATTGTCATATTGAAAATTAACGTTTGAATCAGATTTCGTATTGCTACCGTTCTTCTTAATTAATTTTCTAGTTTAAATTCCAGCGTTCTGTTTTATCATTTTCTTCTTACTTTCCTTAATTTATTCTACTTAGTTCTTCCTTTTCTTCTTTTATATTTGTGATATATGTTATATACTATAATAGGTTCATACCTACAAAAAATAATGAAATAAATCTTTTTTGTTAGAGTACAAGTATAATTGATTGCACAAAGGATACAAAATTTGTCTTAGCCTTATAACAACAAGTCAGACTGGCATCATAGATTATCGTTAAAATGCAACAGAAAGCTGTATATCTAAGAATTGCTAAATGTGAATAACGTACAAGATTTTAGCTTTCTTGTCTAACATGCTATTGAAACAGTATATAACCGACGTTTGCCTGCACAGCTGTTAAAAAAATCGCAAGGCAAGGGGTTAAAGACGCATTTCCAACTGCGCTCATCATGTACGTACAAAACTTCGTCAATTTCGCTAGAAATCGATACTGAATCTCTGCAAATCATTCGTCGTGAAATATCGTTCCTCGTGTCATCGCCGAATGAACTCATCGAGAAAACATCCCAGCGACGACAAAGGCAAATATCGCGCCATTCCCATGCAACAAGCATGAATCCCCAATTATCGGTAACATTGTACGTACTTTTTCCCTGGAAACGACAGAACCCTAGTGAAAGCTTGGACAACGAGAGATTCGAAGCTTTCGAAGAAGGAGAGACTCCCCCATTTTTCAACTACCGTATCTACTTACATATTCCTTCACGAATTCACCCATCGACGAAGGCCACAAGAAACCGTGTACGGCCGGTTACAAAATCGCGATTAATAATCGTACACGCGTGAATTCTTCGTTGCCGGTCATAAATCTCGCCGCCAATCATCCCCAGGCTTCTCGGGAGAAAGAGAGAGAGGGACGTTTCTTCGTCGTCGCGGAGAATCAACGACGCGTCGACAATGATGCTTCGTTGGCATAGGTATTCTTTCGCCGCGTTTCCGTCGTTCGACGACGATGATCGATAAGTCGCCGCGGGAACACGATATTAATCTCGACGAAAACGCACCAGCCGGCTCGGTTAATCATTCGCATTGTCGATCGTCGAAAGGTGGAGATCGAAGATGCGGCCAATTGGCTTATTGTGTCGCGCATTCAGGCATTTGGGGGAAACGCTTTTATCTTGCTATTGATTGTCTCGTGTCTCAAGAATTTTCTTGAAAAATTGAAATTAATAAATTAGAATGTATTTATTTGTTTATTTTGTGATTGAAAGAATACAAGTCGTCTTTCTTATTTTTGGGAATATTTTCTTTGACGATTGATGTGTCATGTTTGAAGACTTTTCTTGGAAAATTGGAATTAATAAATTGGATTCTGTTTTTTGTTTTGCGATTGAAAGGGTAAAATTCGTCTTTCTCATTTTTGGGAATATCTTTTTTCTTTGATGATTGATGTGTTATTTGAATAGAGTTCTTTCATCCTTTAACACATTGGAGACCTATGACCCAGCATATGGCTCATGCAATATGATGAAGTTTGGTGTTATCAATTTTGTAGAATAAGGTGTATGAAAGATAAAATTGCCATTGACGTTTTGATCGAATAAAACACGAATAATCCGCAGTCACGGCTGTCGATATATTAAAATATAAATAACGACGAAGAGAGTAGAGACTTTACATTACCGGTTTCTAGGAATAGTCTTGTAATAATATGTTTGATCTCAAATGTCTTAAGTATAATGAGGATATTATATTTTGAATTACAATTACATACTTTTATATGATTAATTAATTCAGAGGACGAGTGATTGTATAGTATATGTAGGTATAATGATACTTTGACGTAAGAAATACACGATGAATCAGACTCGCCGAAAATATCCAAATGATTATGGTTAGAAATTGCTGCAGGCGTTTAGGCACCAGGTTTCTCTCGAAGACGTTGTTACGAAGAATATTTACTGTAATGGAGATAGTTGACAGTATAAAAAGTATTATGGTATCGCGTAGCGTGTACGGTAATATGGAAGAAATAAAATAGAATAATAAAACTTGCTAGTTTTTAATAAAACATTTAAAATTTATTATACAAATAATATTTAGTTTTTCGAAATATTTATTCATGAAGCTTTTCAGTGAGATCTGACAAAGGCAGTGTAATTTAATTCCCTCCCGTAATTCGATCAATTAATTTACATTACGTCGATTTAAAAATTTTGAGAAAAAATTTGTCAAAAAAAATCTGCATAAAGAAATGCAGTCCAATTTAAAGAAAAAAGAAAAAAGTACAATTTCACTTCCAGTGAGACGCACACGTTCCACTTAGGTCCTCGAACGAAAATTAATCTCAATTTAGGATCCATTACAGACACGACGATTGGTACAAAAATAACAAATTCTTGACCAAAACAGTGCAAAATTTTCCTCGGTGATTTTGTTCCAACTTCATTTGTGACATATTTTATACACACGCAGAAATTGAACGCTCTAGTTCCACTCATAAAATTGCACAATATTCCACGATATTTTGCAAGACCAAAAAGGATTATTTCAACTTTCAAAATTACTCAATCGTTGAAACTTTTCCACACATTATAAATATGTAATATTATTGTGTTGCAGGAATGGCTGGCAGTATGGGACAAGCTGGAATGGGCTCGTATTATGGTCCCGCGGCGGCTTACGGTTCTCTTTCCGCGGCCAGCATGGCTGCGGCTGCACAGCAGTCTGCCGCGGCGATGTCCGCGGGCCTTGCAGCACCTGCACAGGTGAGTCTATACACCTCGTAAACAAACACCACGTTTCCTGCCACGCGAAACTCGTTCACCGTGTTCCCAACGGTGTTTCCCCGTGTCAATTCTCTTATCTCTCTCATTCGAAGTCCATCTGAAGAGATGTTCGAATCACCATGGACGATCTCGAAAACACTTATGTATCGTCGTCATTTCCGCGTCAATTTCGAGCGCTGGTCACGGCACACCGGTGTGTATGTGTAGGTCGTGTAACGTGCACTTCCGCGAGACGAGTTCTCTTTCTCTCAATGGCTGCCAATGATGTGTGAAACGATAAGAATAAACGTGGTGGGTTCTTCCAAGGATCGTGACAGCGTGCAGTTGCGAGCGGAATTACAAATGTACATATTGTTACGCAGAAGAGGATCTAGGCTGAGTTTGACCGGATTCGGAGCACGTTGACGATTCTTTTTAGCAGAAGGAGGCGCGTCTGTTTCGCACAATTGACGCATTTGGTACCGTTGACACGTGGAAAATGGGAAAGTTGGGTGGTATTCCTGGGATCTGAATGACGTTTCAAGGTGTGGAATGGGAGCATTGCTTATTTTCTTAAGGATCGTCGGAATTTTCACTGACTAATATTCTTTAGATAGTTGGAAATTTCACCGACTAATTTTCCTTAGATAGTTGGAAATTTCACTGACCAATTTTCTTTAGATAGCTGGAAATTTCATTTACTGATTTTCTTGAGGATATTTGAAAATTTTACTGATTAATTTTTTTGGGAGTAATTAGAAATTTCACCGTCTAATTTTCTTTAGATTGTTTGGATTTGCACTGTCTAATTTTCTTTAAATGGTTCGGATTTTCACTGACCAATTTTCTTCAGATTGTTTGGATTTGCACTGACTAATTTTCTTTAAATTGTTCGAATTTTCACCGACCAATTTTTTTTAGATAGTTGGAAATTTCATTTACTAATTTTCTTGAGGATATTTGAAACTTTTATCGACTAATTTTCCTGGGGATAATTGGAAATTTTAGTGACTACAGAAAACTTCGAATTTCTGAAACTTTGCAAGTTTGTTAGGAAAGTCAGTAGAAGTATGGAACAATTTTCTTTATTTATTTTCTCTATTTTTCATAATTACTTTGTGTAACAACTTTGAACTATTGAATTAAGAAGGTGGTTCTTTCGATGAAAATAACAGTGAATCAAGATTTCAAAAATGTGCAAGGTGTTTATCAAGGTAGCGAAAGGAAAGAAAACAAGGCTCAACGTTGTAATACATTTTTCAATTAGAAGAGAAGAAATCGATTTGCCAGAGAGGAGGGTAGCATCCTCGATTACGATTTGTCAGAGACGAAAAATGCGTAAGAGACGGTCGCAGGGACCGAGTGTTATCGCGATGCCAGCGGAAAAGAGCCACCCACGCGGTTATTTCTTTCGCGTCCCTATTCAATGGAATTTGACATCGGGAGACTCGATCAGGGAATCTCGAGATTTATCGCTGCATTCACGCGTTCCTTTTCTCGGCAAACAACCGATATTCTATTAATCGATTCGAGACGTACGGTTTGCTTCGTATCAATTTGACTCCGGTATTCGTGCCTTCAAGGAGGATTGAAAAGGGTAAAAAACAAAATCGCCTTTTGAAGAAAATATATGTTATTCTTCATAATTTTCTGCTCAAAGTGTCGTGTAATTTACTACAATTGGCTGAACATATTTGTACATTATTTTATCGACAGAAATTAAGAACGTGTATTTTTCTTTATTCCTAATTGTTACATATTTTTCAACCTTTTCTTGTAGAAGTGATTTTATTTATTTTAATCGGAAAATTATAATGGCTGGTTCAACGAAAATATTTTATGAACGTAGAAGTAATGAGTGGAAAAAGGGAGTAATAGTGTTTTTTGTTTTTGTTTTAATTGTGATTTTCTGAATGTTGGCATTTTCAAACTTTATGTAGCTTTTCTTCGAAAACTTAAGATTTACAAAAGCGACACGACTGTTTCTTTCTTTTTTTGTTACAAACTACATTAGTTAGCTACAGAAAAGTACGATTACTGTGACTAATTCAACTTTAGTGATGTTGAAGTACCGACATAACATTAGAATATGCGATCTTGTGTAATTAAGAGCGTATACAAGTCTGCAGAATTGCAGAAGGAGCCTCAAGATAGATTGAAGAGAGAATCTTCAGCTGCACAACATGGAAAAGTGTATTCAACCTTGTATTCCAAAAGGACACGAAGGAAAAGCTTCAAAGACTCAAACCTTCAATTTATCTTGAAAGTTTCCATCATGTGCACTCAGCAAGATGTCCTGAAATCTTCTTCGTCTGCAAACTCATCTGGAATCAACCCAAATTGTACCAAAAAAAAAGTACCTCAAGATAGATTAAAATAGTGAATCGTGGGATATTTAAATTGATATTCCAAAAAGACACGAAGGAAAGATTTCTTCAGCTACATAAACCTCGAATTTCCTAAATTTCAAAATAATATAAGAAGAAACTTTCTAATTTTCTAATCTACTTTCCTCAAACTCATTCAAACCCACACAAATTCATATTTGAAATCATATTCAGCCACTTAAACCTGCAATTTTCTGAACTTCGAAACGATATAAGAAGAAGCGTGCTAATTCTCTAATCTACCTTCCTCAAATTCACTCAAACCCATGCAAAATTTTATAGAAAAGAAACCTCAAGGAACACCGAACCTCTAGCCACTTAGACTTACCAAAGGACACGCATCCAACAACTCTCCATTCCCCATATAACACCAGATCCTTCCAGACCCCTTGAAAACAATTCAAAACAAGCCAGTATAAGAAGAAACTTCCTAATTCTTTAATTTGCCTTCCTCGAACTCACGCAAACCTACTGAAAATTGCATAAAATTGCAAATTCAAGAAACACTATACCTCCACCCTCTCAAACTCATATTTGAATTCATATTTAACCACTTCAGCCACCTAAACCTACAATTCCCTAATTTTCAAAACACCGTAACAAGAGATCTGCGAATCTGACTTCCTCAAACGCACCAAAACCCACTCAAAACTGTGTTAACACGTTGACTGCCACGCAAGATTTCCATGTTTTGCTCAGAGGGCCACAGAAAAATTTTCATTATTCTAAGCATATTATATTACGCTCTATTATTTTTTTTTTTTAATTCAAAATAATGTCCAGTTAGCTATCATATTCGAAATTTTTAGCTGACGATATCCAGTTTATTTAAATTATTCCAAACATTTGACCACCGTGGCCCCACCGGGGAAACAATCTGCGGTCACAGGTGACCAACGCGGCAGCAAACCTGTCAAAAGGAATCCTCAAGAAACACCGAATCTCCAACCTCTCAAACTCACCAAGAAACAACACCAGAACCTTCCAGTCCCCTCAGAAACAACTCACAACCACCGTAAACAAGAAATCTCAAGGAACCCTCGATCAAGCTTGAATCTCGTCTGAAAAAGTCAAACACCGTCGAGCAGATCGACGAGGACCGATCCACTGTCAGTGCAGAAGGAAACGTCGCGAAAAGGGAGAGATAGATCGTTGATGAGAGAAGCAGCAGGAGCAACGAGAGAGAACACTGACGCACACCGAAAGAGAAAGAGAGAGAGAAAGATGGAGGAGAGTGGATACAGGAAGAGGGAAAAGAAGAGGAGGACGAGGCAGAGGACGAGCGTAGGTACGTTTCATTCTATGTCGCAACAAAGGGGCCCCCGGGTGGCTTCGCAAACAGAAACCGGAGACCGTGGTCTGTGTATGAATTTCCGCAGCTGGGTACGGGAGACAAACAGATAGCTAGTTATTTCTGCATTCAACGGCTGAATGGCCGACGCGTCTGGAACGACGCAGCGGCGCGATACAGCCTGACTATTATTGGCGAACCGGCGAGAGCACGAGCGAAGAATTCCAACGCGAGTCCTGTGTTATCGTGGACGAAACGGCATCGTCATCGTCGTCACCGAGCCCCGTCATTCCCCGTTTGCCATTTAGGAAGAACGTCCCTCTTACTATGGAGGTCTGATAAATATTTCTTCTTTCTTTCTTTTCAGCCAAACTTTTCGTTTCTTCCTTTTCTTGGGAAGAACTTAGTGGTGATCGAGGAGGAAGGGTATAAATGGGTGATAGTGATTTTGAGGATGATGTGTGACGTTTGTGGAGAATTAGGGCTGCTTCGAGACTTTTGATTCTTCTTTTCGTGGGAAGAACTGGAGGTGATCGAGGAAGAAGGGTGTAAATGAAGGAGAAGTTGAGAGAAATCGGTGACAATGTTTTGGGAGGAATTGGAGGTGCGATAGAAGAGAAAGTCTGTGAATGAAGAAATCGAAAGAAATTGATGCAAAATGTGTTGATTTTGCTTTTTTGGAAAGAACTGGAGATGTTCGAGGAAGAAGGGTGTAAATGAAGGAGAGATCGAAAGAAACGGGTGATAGTGATTTTGAGAACGATGTGTGGGGTTTGTGGGGAATTAGGGGTGCTCGGAAGGCTCGTTAAATTGTGTGAAAGACGCTTAGTTTAGGGCGGTTGCGAGTGATTTTGGGTGAGGAAGAGCTTAGGTAGCTTTGAGGGATTGTGTCGGCATGTGTGTATTACTTGGAACTGTGTCACGAAGGGAATTATTTCGTTGTGTGTGGATCGTGAACAGATTGGAACTGATGGTCTCGTTGAAGAAGAGCGATACACGTTTCTATCTTACAGGATATTACGCGAGGAAGCGTTGATTCGTGAAATGAAGTTGTTACAGCTATTCATTGCACCAGGAAGAAAAATTAATTATAGAATCACGTTGAACACTTTTCCACGTTACTTGTTATTCGAAAACTTTCCTATTCCACGGTTCGAAAAGCCACGTTGACGTGATAAAACTGCACGTCCATCTTCGTCACAGCGGTCGTCGTCCAGGCAGGACTTAATTATCGTGCCGCAGCACGGTGTCGCCGTTCAAGCGTACAATAACGTCGTACCGTTTCTCTTCTGTTTTCATTCACAAAAGCGCCTATTCTCCGCGCTGCCATGTGTCGTCAGGGATGGAAAGTGACCGAAGGAAGAGAGCACGTAAAGACAGAGAAAACGTACGAGGTGTAATGAAGACAGACAAAGAGAGAGAGAGAGAAAAAGAGTGGCATGCCTTTTGCTAGGAGAGTGTATACTTTATTTTCCAAATGGCTCCTCTCCATTCTCCGGGTCAGAAAGGTTGGCCAGATCGAGAAAGTCAAGCAGAGAGAGACAGAGAGAAGGAAATAGAGAGAGACAAAGAAAGAGAGGAGAGATAAGAATGAGAGAGAGAGGGGGAGAGAGAGCATTGTTGCAGCCAGCTCGTCGATATTTCACCCACATCGCGTCGTCCTTATAGATTCGACTTGGAGCAATGTCGAGAGTGGAGTCGATTGAAAGCCGGATTTTGTTCTTCGGATTTATGTGCATTCTACGTGCACCCTCTGCTCCGAGGGTAGTTAGAAGAAACTTGGGGAGTAATCTCGACGAGAGAGCTGCGTCGAAAGTTTTCATAGAGAATTTCTGGTCAGCGGATACGATGATTTGTCTCAGGAGTTTCCTGTTCCACGCTATGTAACGCGGGTTTCTTCTCTCGAAGAACAAGAAGGTTGTTGCGGTGACTGGGGAAGTTTGGTATCTCTATAGATATGAATAGAAATGGTCGCGTTGCTGAATTGTAGTAGAAAGAGAGGAGTAGTTTGTGAGAGATGGGAACTTTGATAATAAATTTTCCTTCACCTTTCCTGCAGGAAAATTGACAGGTCCATTGTCCAAGGATTACGAGTGCAAAGTTAACTCAACTTAATCATCCAAAAAAGTGGTAAATTATTTCGCCCTTTTCAGGATCCATTCCTTAAATTTTGCATAGTAATGATTTTATAAAACAAAAAAAAAATGCTATTAAAACTACTACTGTGCTTCTTAAATAATCTGAGTATTTAGCAATTCGCGGAAGCCCAGTTACCATTTTCTTCAATTCTCCACGTTACACTGTTCAGAATTCCTTAAACATCTATTACACAATTTACTACGAAAGGTATCTCCACCCATCTATATCACGATCTCATTGCCTCACAGTATCGAGTCACAACCGTGACACAGATTGCAGTTAAGATACGGCAGAAGCAGGTGTACCAGTAATAAAGTCCAATTTTAATTGTAGTTTTAATTCCACTTTACAACACAGATGATTATCGAATACGAACTACGTTACATTATGTTATCCTTTCCATCTGATACGGTATTGTGACACTGTCCTCGCGGAACTGCGACATTATACGCGTAAATTGAACGAAAGGGTACAACGCCGCGCAACAATTCTCAACTATACTTCACTAAAATCATAAACTTGCAAAAGAAGAAAAAAAGAAACACGCGAAGAACGTTTAATTTCCGGATGCATCGCGGTCAGTGCTAAGGTCCGATTCGCGAGGACCAAGCACCGCGGAAGAATTTTTGAGCTGCGAGCGAGAAGAGGAACCGAGTGGTAATCAATTGGACGTAGCCAAGAGAGGAGAGATGAGTCGAGGCGGCTAAGACTGGATGTAAATCATCCGGACAAAGCCGCTTAACGATCCGACAAAGGGTCCCGCGCGGTCCTCGTCCACGAATTATAGAATCGGGAATAATCGTGCGCCCCTCTCCCGCCTCCTCCCCTTTCTTCTCCTTTTTAAGGATCCGTGGCAGTTTCACGCGGCGGACCGTCGTGTCTGGCAGCGGCTCGCGCGGCCGATCTTTAGCCTGGAGAACGGTTACGAAATTTATAGCCATTGGCAGCTTTGTCCTCTTGGATAGAACAAATCTTTCTCTCTTGGACCGTCGCGGATCCGGCGATTTCGCGATTTGCGCTCGGAGACCGAGTCGAATCCTCCATCCTCTGGATCGTCTCTTTTCTTCACGCCAGAATAGCTCCTAAGAACTACTTTATTTTCTTCCTTTTTCTTTTTTCTTTTATCGTTGGTAGTTTCTTCTTCTTTTCGGGGTCTTAGGTGTGAGGTTAGGTTGGCTCCCTTCTTGTCGCGTGGATTTATTGGAATTGATTGGAGTGGAACACGGTGATTCGGGAGATTTTAAGTTAGGAGCTTGAACTTGACCTGAGAGAACACAAGTATTTCACGTGATCACACATGTAGGACGAAATTTAGTCTTAATATGTAGATTTCAAATTGGTAAAATACTTTGTACGTCTAAAAATATTTCTTTAATGCTGTCTCTATTAATTCTCGAAAAATTCGTACATTTCACGATGCTACCTTCTCGCAGCAAAGTCTTTACACGACAACGAACGCCTTACAGATTAAATTACAACCTACTTCGACCTAACTCGAACACAAATCACGTATGAACACAACTCACCAATCCCAATTTCCTCTTTCTGTTCCAGGTGGTGAGTTCAATGGACGCGATGAAGTACTCCATGGAGGCAGACAAGTATCGCGCGGCGTACATGCCGCCCAGCACGTTGGCGATGAGCATGTACTCAGACCCCAAGTACCTGGATTCCAGTCCAAAGTCGTACCTGGACCGGAGCTACCTGGACTCAGCGAAGGCTTACTTCGAGCAGTCGAAGCTGTACATGGACCAGAAACCGGCTATAACCGACTACAATCGACCCAGTTACGATCACAACAAGCTCTACGACGAGCCTAGTCCAGGTAGCGTGGTCGGTGGCGGTGGACCAACTAGGTCACCTGCAGCAGAGTCTCCGGACATGAGCAAACAGCACGAGAGAACCGAGCAAGGATCATCCAGCGCGAGTTCCACGTCCACGTCGTCAGCTGCGAGTCCTGGAGCGAGTCTACCAGCCTATTACCCAGGTCCGGTACAAACTAGCGGGCTATTGGGGCCGCAGATGAGCCAGTACAGCGGCTACCAGACAGCCCCTGCGCCAGGAAACGAGTCGTTCAGACGACCGCTCACTGTAATCTTCTGACCCGATAGAACGTAGCTCTGATCCATCTTCGAGGAGCAGTTGCCCTGAGTTCGGTCCTAAAGTGTTGTTTTGGGTGTGATGTGGGTGGCTGTGGTGAGATTAGAGGTTGTTGGATGAGGGAAGAGGATTATTGAAGATGGAGGAGACGGTTTGTGCTGGAGGAAAGAGGCTTCAGAAGGATTTGCTGGTGGAATTGACATTGTGATTCATTTTCTTGCTCAAAAGGAAAGAGAAGGGTAGCAGCTCTTGAGGAGTTTTGCGAGGAAGATACGTCAAGCAGTCTCAGTTTAAAGCGTATTAATAGAGTGTACGCGTTAGAAGGACGTTAAAGGAGAATCTTGAAAGTCTGAACAGACTGGAGAGTCGTCAATGATAACCAAACTTGAAGGAAGTTCCAATGTATCCTGCACACTTCTTGTTTAGTTCTTGAACAATTGATACAGAGAGAAAGGGTGAAGTAGCATAAGGAGCGACCTGAGAATCCTTGTTTGACAAGGACTCACGAGTAAACTTGAATCTCAAGGCATCAATGTGATCGTAACACGTTCAACGAATCTCTTATATATTTTTCGAAGATCTGATACAAGAGACAGTAACGAAACGTAACCTGCCTAGCTGCAGATCTATTTTTCACCGAAATAGAACAAGGAACGAGAGAATCTGAAGATCAAGCCTGCAATAACTAGGTGAAATCTGAAGAATTGACCCTCTGAAGCCATTGGCAAGTGACAACAACCTCGAGAAGGGCTCGTTCGAAGAAATAAACACCCAATGACCGGACCATTGGCGTATTCACCTACATATCGAAGTGAATACCGGGCCATCAACGGTGCAGATCGTTGAAAGTGACAACGAAATCGATACTCTTCGCGTTCTAGCCATCCCCAGGCGTCCAATTATGACGCGTGACGATTATTTATCGCAGACATAGGATTTCCATCCACCGATCGATGGAGTTATAAAGAAATTGTACATAGTTCCCGTGTAAATAGTGTAGCAAGGATTAT